CTTGTTTGGGAAAAAAAATGAAGAAGTCATGAATGAGAAATGGGATACAAGAAATTCATGAGAAGTTCTGGGCGCATGGAGTTTATCAATCCGTGTTTATGCAAAACATCCTCCAGAGTAATCATCCCAAACAAAAGAGTTAAATCCCAAACAAAAAGAGTGAATGCTAGCAAAGATGTTTCCAAAACTAGTCTCGATTTTTACAAGAGCATCACCAGAAAAGAGAGAACATGCTCCCGTAGGAGAAGACTTTGTGCTATGGGAAATGAGTTGTTGGCAGTATTGATGCCCTTGGACATGGAGATGAAAGGAGTGATGCTCTTTGCGAGTTACGTGCTATGCCATGTGTTCTGAACAAAATTTGCACTGGAGAATAGGAGCTTGTCGGGATTTTGAGCAAAATTGAGGTGGTGCTGAAAATTTGGAGATTTTGAGATCATAGGTTGAGAAGGTTGGCCATATACAGCAAGAGAGAACAGAAACATCGACAGAAGCAACGGAGGTGTGAAGACTAAAGAGATTTCAGGGACATTGGTGAGCAGAAATTGATAATTATAATCCACCTAACGATCAAACCAGTTTAGTTTAGCTATGGCCACTTTCATTTCCTCATTTAAGACCGATAGAACCAGGTTATCGATTGGTTCAAGTTGGTCTTTTTTATTTCCCCTGCATTGGTTGCTTACAAATACAACTAACCAGAAGGAGGGTGATAACACAGCAGTTTTACTTCTGGGATCCTAATCGGTGTGTATTTACACAAAATGAAATTGCTAAATTACAGATTAGTTCTGGAACAGTACAAATGGCAGCACCTCTGTCAGCGGCAGGCCTAGGCTGGGAAGGCCAAGATGGTATGTTGGACAAGTAGCTCTTTACAACTGAGCGTCCATAACAGGGTAGGCTTAAAGTTTCCTTTACAAAGTTGGGGGAAGATAAACATGGATTTAGGGGGCCCTGTAGATATCCCTTCACAAGGAGGACTCTGACATATGCCAGAATAGTGAAAAATATTTAGACTCCTTATAACATCAAGGACCTGATTGGATGGGACTGCCAACCAAAGACAGTTTGTAGCCTGATAATGATATGTGGGGTGCTGGGGCTTGGTATATGTGCCGAGTGAAGGTTGTCAAGTAGCAGTATCCCTTATTTTGTCTAACATATATCTTAAAGGCGCTGAGGAAGGTACGTGCTGGGACCCAAGCATACGCAATGCAACCTCGTCCAATGCTTGGAACAGGATAGTGGATTTGATATACCATGTACTAAACCCTCCCCATGCAGTTTTTTTTTTCTCCAGTTTTACAGGTGCAATTGTATTGAGCTCTCTAGCAGTGTGACAGCTGCCAATTTGTGTCATGAAAACCCACTAGGGAAAACTGTCCTTTTAAGATGATGCTTAGAAGAAGACATCAAAAAAAGTGGTCTATAATACGAATACTCAACGCATGATGTCAGCAGAGAAGAAATTGGAGATACTATTCTAAGTTCTTAACTTCTCACAAATGCCTGTTTCACACAAAATGTAATAAGCAAAACACATGGTACTTATGCTCCAGCCTGAGTAACAAGCTGGACACTGATGTTCATGCTGCAACTTAAGGGCCAGTTTCTTGTTGTGCAGATTTTTTCAAATATGTATGTGTAAACTAATTTCATTTTCTCTAATTATTTTAAAAGCTAAAAAGGTAGACCATTATTGTTCAGTCTCGTTTTTCTTCTTAACTTGCCAAGCTCCAAATAGTACCAAAACACATTCTTACTGTGGAGATCATCACATATGTGCAACACTTATAGAATTCAAGAACCATTCAGTTAGACTTACCAAATTCAGAAGTAGCAAAACTGTTATTAGATAGAAGCTGACAAAGTAGGCATAAGTCCAATAAGTTCTTGTCAATACCTGGTAGCTCTGAAATTTGAAACCACGGCCTATTAGTGATTCCAGAAATATCTAGCAACTTTTACACACTTATTAACTGATTACAACAAGCTAATTGTAGTACAGAATTAAGACATGAAGTGGTGGCAACAGGGCCATGCATATGTTGTTGCTGAAAATCTTGGCTGCTGAAAAATCTGTATATACCACATATGGTCTGATGGCATGTAATTGTATTCCATATGAAAGTGCATAAAATACTGCTCTAGAAGCCCAAATCATTTGCTTTCAACCAAATGAATTATTGTTGCATTGCTCAACTCAACTCAACTCATCCTTGTCATGGGTTTGGCTATACGAATCTCGTTCTGCAATTTCACTTTGTTTAGTGGCATGTCCGCTATTAGACCAGACGTTAATATGTCTTTACCATCTCAGTCCATAATTTTGGTTGTGACAATGGCATAGGAATTGCAACGAATTTCAAAAAATGTCTGTCTGACCTTGAAAATTGAAATTTTTAGTAGTTATGGTTTATCAGCCCAAAACGTATTTATATGCCACTTATTCATCTTTATTTTTCAAATTACGTTACTCACTCTCTGAAACCTGGAAAATTTACAGCATCTTCAAGTGTTCTAGAAACTGGACATCTTTTTTCTTCCAAATTTTTATTACAGTAAAACTGATTAACCATAAGGTGAGGAAAGTTGATTGTGATGGTCTGGCCACTGCACCCTAGGCCAACTAAGGTATTAGTACAAATGATTACAATTTGGTCCAAGTTGAAGATGCTACAAAGAGGAGGAAAGTCAAAAGAGCATGGGTTGAGACCGTGAGATGTGACATTATTTCTCAGGGTTTAAGCAAGGATGTGGCTTTACAAAAAGCCAACTAGAGATGAGGGATTCTTGTAATCGACACCAAGTACCTTGGCTTGTTTAGCTGAGCTTAGTTGGGCTAAACTTTTCTTGTGAATTCTATGGAAATCATATCAAATTCAAGAACGGTGATTTTATTCATTAGCTTAAAAAATATGTGTGCTACTTATTACTTCCTTTATGTCATCTCTTTTCCTGACAAAAATTTCTGCAAAATTTAATCTGATTTATTCCTAATGCTACTGTTACACCTCCATTGTTCTGTGACACATTTAGGCCAAGGACTTGCCAAAGGACCATGGAATTTATGATCTTGGGAACAAAAATATCCTAGAAAAGGCAAGACTTTCAAGCCATTGGAAATAAGTTCGTTCAGATCAGGGTTATTTTGCTAAACTAATTAGGTTGTGGCAATTAGAATCTAACAATGGGGATTCAGCATGTCTAAGTTAGGCTTCCCAATTCACGAACCTGATTCCTTGGCAGCTCTAGCCTAGAGAAGATGCCAAACTATCTGTTGCTTATAAAGGTAAACATCATAAGTTGCATATCAACAATTGCAAAATCATGAGGAGGAGCTTGACACTAGTTAAATAGAGATCATAAAAAAGTAGCTTCAACAAGTGATTACACTATTCAGCATAAACAGTAATTTTGAATGACAGAAAGATGCAAAAAATCATGAAAAACTAGGCATACCTGCATCCACGCTTGCCAGTTTCCCATTACTAGCAAATTGAAGAGTGTCACCATCCCATTTGGATAGTCATTAAAATTGAAAAGTAAATAGCTTAATTTTGTCAAGAAAACAGAATCAAGAGACTGAAATCTACAGAAGAAAACACTTCAGTAAACAAGAAAAATACAGTGACAATTCAAGAGCACATGGAAACATAGTTCATCAATCAGTATTGGTCATTCATCAGTTTCCAACAAAACTTGAGACAATCCTGCAATCGATGTGCCATAATCTATAATTACAGCACAGGCATATGAAAACCAGTATCATCAACGACAAAGGATACTCATTATCTGCAAGATCTGTGCCTTCCAAATAAGGGTTGTCAGCATAGACCATCCCACCAAAGATCTATTTCAAAGGAAGGTTCAGATTGCTTCAATATTAAGTCAAAAGGAAAACAATATCTTTACAGCTTGAAATGACCATGAAACTGAAGTTTTGGTAGGACAAGTCACGAAATAACTAAAATCAATCAACAGAAAACCAGTCATGTAGTCCAGGCTGCAAAGAACTGGCCAGGTGGCAGTAAAAGCATGCAGCAAAATAGAAACTGGAGAATCTTAAAACGTGTGCTTTTTTTTTTTTTTTGGGGGGGGGGGGGGGGAGAGGGGGAGATAACTGACATGTCTAAATGGGGAATGTAAATCAACTCATCCAAGCTTTAACGCCTGATTGAAAGGGGATTAGACCACCAAGAAAACACAAAGTTGTTTAAAATAACGAAATTTGAGGCTATTTTCCCTTTCATTCATGCCTTCAACATTTACAACAGGATGAAACAAAGACATACTTCTTTTTTTTTTTGTTTGGAAAATTAATCTAGACATACTTAATCTCCACATAAAATATTATTGCTCGAGTTCTAAAACAATGAAGATGGAAAAATTCTAAGAAGATGGGGAAAATTACAAAATACTAATATTTCCACTGCAGTCACTTATGTTATGACCAACTATTTCCATATTTTGAATTTGTAGGCAGTATTGCCATCCCTGCATCTAACAGTCAACCAGACAGAAGTAATGTTGAAGATGAAATAAAACACACTAATGGAAATTTTGATCAAATCTGACATCCACCTGTAATATTCAGAGTAAAATCAGTGAAACAATTCAATTAAGTAGCTCTAAGCATAAACTTGGCATAAAAGAAATTTGAGCTAAGCAGAATACAGGCAGATGAAGATGAAACCTGATTTACCTGTACACCGAGAGAGCAATAAATGCACAGGACACAGAATATGGTTCCAAGGTACGGCATCAAGCTTGGTATTAGGGTCAAAAATGTAGCAACAAAGGCTCGATATCTCTTGACATGCATCAAGAGCCTAATTAATCGAAGCATTCTTGCAATAAGAAGATAACGGATCCTGTCCGCACACACACAAAAAAAAAAAAAAGGAGAAGCAATTAAAAGCTTTCAAGGAGTGATGAATTAATTGATTACCAATGCATATGAACAAACTTTCAGATTATTTAGAAGAGATCTCTCCTTGATGCTGGAATATTAACTCGCAAAATAATAGGAACATATGAATACGGTTTTCTCTCTTACCCCATTTTGAAGAGAATAGGATAATTATATCTTGTCAGAGAAGTTCACCTTAGAGGGACAACCTATATAGAATCTCTGATATCTTAAACTAGAATAGTTAAGACATCCAGAATTGAACTGGCCAGTTTGATCTAGGAAAATGGACTCATCTTGGTTATAATCACAAATTTTCAGGTTTCTACTCAATTGAAGCCTTTTTCATCTTCTAACTTAAATTGTACTATTCTATGCATATATTAATCAAGCAGTGATGGCCTACATCGATATTTCTTACAAAAACCCAAGTGAATTACCATAGGCTAAAAGATTGTTTGTTAGTAGTAGTCTATTCCTAAAAGTGTTCTTCTAAAGGGAAACACTATGCATACACAGAGATGTATGTACATTGGGCAAAACAAGACAATATAGGAATATTCAATAATGTCCAGGCAAACAAAGGTCAGGAGCAGAGACTCAGAAGATATCCTCGCAAATTTCTTCAAATCAGAGGTATGTCACAATAGGCCATACAAATCATTTCATTCACCAACATCTAGCAAGATGCGTTTCTTGAAAATTCCAGGGTCCTCTCGTTCCCATTGGATCATATTTTTGGCCATTGCTTCAGCTCTTTTTGTTCCAACCTTCCTTTTCGTTGCAATATTTTATAAACCATCACTTCTTGGTAACGCAATGACCCTCAACTGTAGATGGAAGTATCCACAGAATTCATAGAGGAGCACAGCAAGTATAAGAGAATGGAAAAAAGAAGCAAAGTATGGATCATCAAGTAAAGCCCAAACTACATAGATGGTAGACCATCTACACCCTTGAAAAACAAGATAATCTATTATCTGAAGCATCCCAGAGATTGCTAATTAGATGAAGAACAAGAAGGGGAAGCACATTCTCCCCATCTAAATAAAGAGATTATCTACATTGCTGTGACTGTGTCAGACCTGAAATGGTATGTCTTATCTGGCTGCACAAATCCAATATGACTTTTAAAACAAGAAACAAGTACTGACATTAACTTTATTGCTTGCAAATTATCTTCTGATCAGAGACAACATTGTGCCTCTCGCAAACAAATGACACCAGTGAAAAAATGTCTGAAAATAGAGTACAAAAGGAGTCCTCCACGCCTCCTGCCCTAATCTTATTGGTAAACCTCTATCCAAAATCCAAATAATTCAAATCTCAAGAATGGAAGTGTTTTAGTATATAAATACATAAGTTACATCCACCCTATCAACTAAGCGTTTAGAGAATTTGGTAGTTTACATGGTATTAGAGCTAGGTTTCGAATAGTTTTGGGCTATACTCAAGGATCAAAATTTCGTTTCACTGCATCATTTTGGTCATCTAAGAAACGGAAACGTTTTGACCCATTTCGGAAACATAATGAAAAATATAAAAAATTTAAGAATTATTTTTTCAAAACATTGGTCAAAATATCTTGAAGTATATTGAAATATCTTGAAACATTCTGAAACAATTGTGCAAATGTATTAAAACATTACAAAATACCTTGAAACATTATGAAACACTTTGAAATATTATAATTTTGATTCCATTATTAATTGAAATGAAAATTTTTGGACGTTTTGAAACGAAATTTTGATCCTTGGCTATACTCTATTTCAATTTCATCAATTGGTGATTGTTTCACCTTTGTTCATGTCATTCAATTCTTCTGAATCTGTCGAACTCTCTACGTGTGAGTTGGGATTGCACGTGCAAAAGACTAGGAGTGTCAATTTTCGACACGACACGAACCGAATAAGAAATTAATGGGTCGGACATGAAATTAAAAGAGTTAATGTGTTAAAATGGGTTAACACACTTAAACACGAAAAAAATCATGTCGGGTTCATGTCAAAATCAGGTCAACCCAATTTTGACCTGACTAACCCATATATTTTAAACAGGTTGATATAATTCGGACATGAACCCGACCTAACCCATTATAGACCCGTTTGACCTGTTTATGATAGTGTAGTTTACATATTATGTATGACTGATGTGGTATTAACATTATTACTTATTAGTTGTTACTTCTACTATGATAATTGGCAATATAGTTATTAACATTATTATGACAGTATACTAATGTAGTTCTTGCTTTAATTTTTGGGTTGAAACTTAAATGCATTTTAGTTAATTTCATTGATGAGAAGTGATATGTTATTTGTAAAAAAATTATTTAAAATTTTGGATGAATGATTGAATGACATATTTAATGGTAATGAACTAATGTGAAAACATGTTATGTGTGTTAAACAAATTAAACAGATCATGTTATGTGTGTTAACCTAAAAACGATCTATTTGTTAAACGAGTCAAACAGGTCAAGTTCGGATAACCCATTTAATGGCTAGATCAAGTTAGTGTTTACACATCTCGACACAATTATTAAACATGTCAGGTTTGGATTTTGAATTTTGACACAAACTCGAAATCAACCCGACACGAAATGACCCAACCCGATACGTTTGACACCCCTACGAAAGGCTGTTAGAACTTGTTACATATGGATAAAGAACACCATCCAAACTAGTATATGAGACTTGTGGGTCTCTCCATTTATTGTTAATTGATTATGAGTTATATGATTTATCACGGTACCCAAGTAGGAGGTCATGCGGTCAAATGCACAAAAGGGCTATATTGAAGTACCTAAATAATAATAATGTTACACCCTCTCTGTCAGCTTAAGATATAAGGAATAGATGTGAACAAGCACAACCAAAAAAATTTCAAATTATTTTTTATGTTTTGTTAGCACAATGTTAGTAAATTATAGGATGATCTCACACTCAAATTAGTAATTATAGTACAACAACAATTTTTCCCCAGATTTTTCCTACTCACAGCCAAACTTCATAATTGACGATAAACTTTGCATCCAAGCAACCACATTATCCAATTCTAAGGTCGATTACTTGCATCTTGGTTCAACACTCAAATCAGATTTTTGGTATCATCTTTGTTCGAGTGTTACTTTCCTATCACTCTACTTTTCTATAGTTCAACTTTTCAATTATGTGGTTTTTCTGTTAGGTTCTACTTTCCTAAACTTGTATCTGTAACCAATATCAATATAATATAAATACTTGATTGGGTATTGGCAACACACACCTTACACTCAATATTGTTTCATAATCTCTTTTTTCCCCTATTCTTCTACTTGTCTTTCTTTTCATAAACCACAATATTCAATTATTCAAGTTTCAACTTAATATCAGAATAAAATACTTTAATGAGTTCAGCTCAGCCCTAGTAGAGTGCCTCATTTGCGTTGGGGCGTGCCGCCACACATTAAGTTGTAGTTGTCCACATGGTCATTATCGGTTATTGTGGGGTGCTCGAGTTCATGTCGATGTCTTCGGTGTCTTATCATCAGCTTGGATCTTAGTGTTTTTAGTTCAGTTTAGCAATTTGCATCCTAGTTTGGTGCTAGTTCATGGGTTTGCATCCCTGATCAGTTCAGGTTTAGTATTTATTCAATTGTTTGTGGCTCGGTTTGGAGCAAATTTTGTGGTTTCAATCTCAATTCAATTTTAATTTAGTGCTTTCAACGTGATTCAGTGGTTTTCAGCCCAATTTGATGTTGATTTAGTGATTTTTCGTTTCAAATCAATTCTAGTTCAATGTTTTAACCTGATTTAGTTTCGGTTTAGTGATTTATGGCTCAGTTTGGTGATGGTTTAGTGGTTTTCCTCCGGGTCCAATTCAGTTCAATATTGTCAACTCAGTTTAGTGTCGGTTTAGTGATGTCCGGGCCGTCCGGCCTCTTGGTTCAGATTCGATTAAGTGTTTTCAACTTGGTTTAGTATTGTTTCAGTGGTTTTAGACATAATTTGGTGTTTGTTTAGTGATTTTCATCCCGATTCAATTCTGATTCAGTGTTTTCAGCTTGGGTCAGCGCCAATCTTAGAGCTTTCATCTCAGTTTAGTATTGGTTTTGTGATTTTCAGCACCAATTCAGCTCCTTTTTGATTGATTCAACTCCAATTGGTTTACAATGTTCTCGACTATTGCCATTCAATTTGTTATTTCCTATGGTGTTGTTGGTTGTGTTCATTTGTGTTGTTTGTGGTACGGGTGTTGTTATGTTTGTCCTTTGTCATTACATGTTCTTTTCCCTTATGTTGTCCTAGTCATCGTTGTTATTGCTCGTTTTGTTATGGTCATTCATTGATTCTCTAGAAAACCAAAGGGATGTCTTACACTTCACATGGAACAACCACCGGGATTTGTTGCTTAAGGGGAGAATCATGGTAGTGTGTGTTGATTAAAGAAGTCTCTAAATGGTCTGAAACAATCACCAAAGCTTTAGTTTATCATCTTTATTTTCTATGTGAAGATATTGCGATCAACTAAATAATTTTCTCACCAAACCATTAGTGCAATCTACTTTTAGTAGTTCTATTCCAAACTAGGCATTTTTTTATCCCTATACTCCAACTAGAGGGGGAGTGTTAATTATTGTTCTAATTTAGTCGAGGAACAAAATATCGTTTCAAAACGGTCGAAACATCTGAAACATTTCCGTTTCTAAAGAGACCGAAACGAATTGGTGATGAAATCGAAATTCTAATAGTTCGAGGTGTTCCATAATGTTTCGAAATATTTTATTATATTTCAATACATTTGTATAATTATTTCGGAATGTTTCAAAATATTTTGGTATATTTCAACTAGTGTTTTGAAAAAATAATTTTTGAAGTTTTTATTTTTTTATTCTATTTTCGAAACGGGTCAAAACGTTTCCAAAACAAGTCGAAACGTTTTTGTTTCTTAGGTGA